TCAACAACTACCCGCCCCATACAAACGACTCATTCACGACATAAACATCACAAACGACCGAAAAAGAACGACCTAACTTTACCGACAGATCGAAACAGACCAATCACGACCGACTTACGTCACTTGAGTCTTACAGCCAATAACATCACGGCAAAACCAACCGATCATTTCACACGAACTGGAATAAGAACATTCTACTGACAACAATCATTCACTTGACTCTGATGATGACTTCCGCACAGGTTGTCGAAACGTCAGTCACTACCACCGACAACAGTCCTTCTCAGGACTACACTCACCCGGACGATCAGACTACACCTTCACATGTTACCCCCCGGGTTCAAACCATTTACTATATAAATCGCTATCCAGTGGGTAAGTGGTAACAAAAGGTACTGCGCTATCCACCGGATAGAGATTCATCCAGTAGCTAGAGTTATCCATTCTTTGAACAACCGAGGCCTGATTGTTATGAGTTCATTTGAATGACCTAATACGACCAAGATTTCGTAGGATGTGGTAAAGTTACAGATAATGAAGAATTCAGCGCATATCCTTAATTATCGGCTTTCTTCTTCCTTTATGCTTAGATTGTGACAGCAATGGTGTCTGCCCAGACACCAAAGACTGTCCAGTGTGTCACAATGGTGGTAGCTGTCTGGACGTGATTGACGGCTACAACTGCCATTGTATGTCTGGTTACACCGGTGTCCATTGTGAGACAGACATAGATGACTGCCAAGGGATCGAATGTCAGGTGAGTGGCATGGTATTTGACCATATGTTATTTTATAACATAACGACATGGTACGCAATCGTCTGATTGGCCAAATCAGTTTCTAAGCGGATGCTTTATCAGGTTATAGAGCCTGCATGTGACTATGTCATAAAAGCCATAGAACGCATTTTTCCGGGCTCTGTAACTGATAAATTTCTCCTGACCTATCGCGTTTACATACAATGCAGAAGTGTTCATATGGTTTTCTTAGATTCTCTATCTTATTTGCTTTTCTCTCATTAGAACGGAGGTACATGTCAGGATGGAATAGCATCGTTTACTTGCCAATGTGCAGTGGGATTTTCAGGGACGTTATGTGAGCGGCAGGAATCTCTTTGTGGCGATTGTACAGGAGATACATTGTGCGTGACCTTTCTTTCAGCGTCTATCAGGTAAATGATGAATAATTGATGTAAAAAGAGTTTGCTTTTAAGGAAACAAGCTTCTAATTGAATGACGTTTCATTAAATGAAACGATTTGTATTAGTCGCAAAGGTAGAAAGGAATCTTTGAAGAAGGAGCACTGTTTAGGCATGTTTTTGTGTTTCTTTATCTTTCATGAATTTCTGAATTACCCCTCTCTTTCTTTTGGCAGGTGTGTAGGAATGCAGCAGCGGATCCCAGTCCTTGTGAACGAACCGCAGATATCTCCTCAACGAAAGAAAGAACTGGAGGAAGAGATTGGAGCCATATTGGACGCGAATAGAAATGATGGCAACAAAGGTATGAAAGGTCACTCTACAGCCGGCTTTAAGGGTGATGATAATCAACGTCGTGCACTTATCTGGGTTTGTCTTGCTGTAAACAGGAGTCTTGCATGACTACTTATGACAATATAGGTGACGCACACAATGCCTCTCCCCGCCTAAAGCCCATAGGTGTGCAAGTAAACTGCAGGGAATTTTTTTTATGGTGGAGTAAAATCCCGTTTAGAGGAGCAGATGGAGGGGGAGGGGATGGAGTTAGTAATACTCCTTGTGGCTTCTTGCTACAGAAGCTGTGGTCGATTTAGTCTGGGAGTGATGAGCCTTTGCGCTCGAAAGACTTTACATCACCCAAGGAATGAGAAATTATTGACATAGTTAAGTCGGGCCAGATAGTGATTTAAGCGACGCCTAAATTACTAAAAATACTGTTACATAGCTCCCTTAATCCAAAGGTATTTTGGAATTTATGTATTCAGTTACCTTGCTCTTACCATGTTTCAGCCATTACCAGAAAACGACGAGCGCTATCAAATTATTTCTACGTGGAAGTTCTTCAAACAGTTCCGCTGGCTACTCAACGGCAGAGCCTTTTGATTATTACAGCGCTGGATGCAAGGAACGCATACTCGCCTCTGCCGGCTTCTGAAGCTTGCAGAATACTCGCTAACAGTGTGCGGCAGTGTGTGGAAAGCTGTGACATACTCCAACTAGCCAGGCTTCCCTGCCAAGGGAGTCTTAATACCAACATAGGAAAGCCTTCCGAGGGCGTATCGGCAGGTGGCCTAGGGTCAGGTGGAATTGCTGGTATTGCTGTGGTAGTCTTCATTCTCCTAATTGCTATCGTTTTCGCTGCTGTCTTCTACTATAGAAGAAAACACAAGAAGGCAAAGGTAAACCACTCTTAGGCTTCTACTCGGAAGATTCGCCTGTATACCACAGTTGACTTGATTTTTTTTCATTTGCATTGTACGTTAAAAATTGACAGCACCGGCCGTCACGTGGCGGCGCCTTATTTTTTTTCTCTCTGTCGCATCTGATATTGTTGTTGTTTTTTCGATGTATCCTTGAAGGTGCAAACCTCTATTTCTTGCCAGCTGTGTGTTATATTGTATTTAACCAATCGCAGATGAGAAAAACTCCTCCAAGCAAATTTGAGGCTGCGTGGCTTTATGGTTACCGTGTTGAATTGGAGGGTTTTAGTCGTGATTCACGCCCTGTATATAACCAGCTAGTTTACCTCCTGTCAGTTTGGATTTTTTTTATCATTTTTACATTGAGTAGAATTAAAATGAACCAGACAATTACTGCACTACCGGTATGCTACCGGCTTTTATTATCTAGATTCAAGTTTTTCCCTCGTTTGGTTTAATGAAAATTTAAAAATTTAGGAAAGACCAATCACAAACGTCTTCCGAACGTATTCTCGTTTTACTCTGATAGAACGAACAGGATCCAGTTCGTTACCAGTCCAGCACGGAAGACGTGGATTTCTCCGACCCAGTTTACGGCAACCATGGCAATGCGCTATCGTCAGGACCATCGAGAGTAGAATGGGCCGAGAAATTAAGGAAGGAATCCGATGGATTGGCACTAAACAATTTGAATCCAACTTCTGTCGTCAAACGTAACGACATCCAGGTTAGATTTTGACGAATTTATGATTAAAGAAACTGTTTGGAATTCATGACATAATAATCTGTCACGCAATCGTCTTTAGTAGTCTACGGGTATTTTGTCTTCAAGAGGGTTTCAACGGAGGTTAACGGGCAGCCGTTAGGCGCAAAAAAGAAAAATTTTAACCGTTAGTCTTATGACAAGTTAATCTTTAAAAATGTCTAATGACAACTATGGGAAGATACTAACCGTTGCAGTAAATTGACCAAAATTGTAACCGTCAGCCGTAAAAGCCATCGCCCCATTAAGACCCTCGTTCAAGTGATGCGATCGATAATGGTTGGAGCAATTTTCAACACAGTGTTAAAGTAATTCGCGATTGTTTCGATTTTGCCTTACTTAGCTCTGTGATTGGTCAGGAAAACTTGTGCCACCATCTCAACCAATCAGATGCAACATGTCAACCAATCAGATGCAACATGTCAACCAATCGCGACTTGGTCATCTGCGTTTTCCCGCGCTTTAGGCAGTTTGCGTGGCTTTTTGTAATATTTTCTTTCGCCCTGATCGGCCGTTGTGACTCGTTTTGTTTTGGTTTGGTAACACTCAGTCGAAAGAAGTCAATTTAATGTCTCGAGTTTGTATTATTTATCGCTCTTTTCTATTCTTAGCTATCCTCATTCTTTCCTTGCCTTCTTTTTTCCCTTGGTGTTTGTTTACCCTGTTTAAGTGTAACTCGAAGATTTCCTCTTTTTGCAAAAGCATTTTCCATAATAAAAACGTTGTGCAACATAGTATTCGGATGACATGATATTCGTGTGAATACTCCCGGCTTGTCTGTATTATCTCTGATTGCACAAAAGATATCGGAGTGTTTTGAGGTCTTTTCTGAATCAATCAAAATTTCTGATGATGCGTGGATACATTCTTTTGTTCATGCTTAAATTAAAGCCTGCACAAAAGATATCGGAGTGTTTTGAGGTCTTTTCTGAATCAATCAAAATTTCTGATGATGCGTGGATACATTCTTTTGTTCATGCTTAAATTAAAGCCTCTGAACTAAATCATACTAACTTGACTTTAATTGAGGGTTTAGAGCTGTGCATTTGGAATTCTTGGGTTGTCACAAAAAGTCTTAAATAAAGCGATTGCCTGACGCGGTTTTCATTCACTTCGGACTATTAAAGGTTTGCAGGAATTTTCTTATGTTTAATCTTGCTCTGCTTTTCTTCAGGTGTCTGACAATCCTCTGTACCATAGTCTTGGGAGCGCTGCCGAACCCGGGGCACCCAGCCCAAATTACGCGAAGGTGGTTGATACACCTTCGGAGGATGAGACAGCAGGGGCCAAAAAGAAGAATAAAGAAGACCACACTTACATGGAGCCTAAGGATGTTACCCACGGGGGAGCTTCAAAAAACCAGTATGAAAAGCCCCCTTCGAAGCGGGTATCCCACACTAACAATTCCTACACGGATCCCAAAGGTGTAACTCCTAAGGGATCATTGAATCCCTGCTATGAAATGTCCCCTCCACCGCAGGTGTCGCACACTAACAATACCTACGCGGAACTTAAAGATGTTACCTTTACGGGGGCGTCGAATCCGCGTTATGCTAAGCCTCCACCGGTACGAACATCTTTTGTAAACAAGTTAGATAATCACCAAGAAGACGTTGGCGCGCTTGGAGAAGGTGCAAACCCTTACTTCAAAAGGGCAAAGGCCAAAGAGCGTGCATCGAACGCATCTCAAATAAAGAAGTTCAGACGTCAGAGAAGTGGCGAGAAAGAAGCAAATGAAGAAGAAATTGTCGCGCTCAAAAAGAACGAGGTGCCACCGTCTTTTGAGAATCCATTTTACAGAGGCATTCCTCCAAGAGACCAAGACAATTTCATGGAGGATCCAGCATACGCGACCATTCCTGCATTGCAAGAATGCCGTCCGTGTATGCCGCCAAGAACTCAGCAAAGATCCTACGATACTACAGCGGAGGAGATTCAGGTTCAAGAAGTCAACATATACGAGAACGTAAACTTTGGAGACACGGAGGCGTAAGCAACATTTTAAGTAAAGATTTTTCAGTGGCGATGTTTTGATAGTTAGTCGAGTTACTGCATCTCTTTAAAACATGCGAACCTTGGAATTGCATGTGTATCACTGAAAGTGAGTTGTACAGGGACTACATAGAACCGGGCAAATGTTTTGTTTTAATTGTTTCCACGGAGATATGATTTTCATTTTTTTTTCGGATATTCTTCATTCAGCAACTTCGTTTCCAGAGTCTCTCCTCTTGCACTTGCCGCTCTTGGGGCGGAACGAAGAGAGAGTTTGGGAACGAAGTTGAATCATAATTGTGCCTCAGCGATAAGTTAATTAATAATTAAATTGATATTACAGAGAAAGCACGCAAATCTTGGATCTAGCCGAGATTTAAGTTCAAAGTAAGTTAAATCATTCAGACCTTGTAATATTCACAATACTATGCACCGCTGTACAGTTTTCCATGCGTTAGCGAGAAAGCAGACATTATCAGCTCGTTCGTCAACTTTGCATGGTATTTAAGTTCATACGTCACACGAGTGGGAAGTTCAAAACTTCTCAGAGTTCTTCAAACTTATCACGATTTCTTTGAGATCACGCCAGCGTTGAAAACCGGGATACAGCCTCAAAGCACTTTGCATACGAGTATTTTTACAGATGAGGTGTTTCTTACCTTTTATTAAACGACCTTTCTAGAAGTGTATAAAAGCTTACGCAACTTCCTACTTTGCAGAAGTTTTGGTACAGAATTAGGTTTTATGTAACCACTACCAAGAATAATGGCAAAGAACAGTTTTTTTTTTATATCTGTTAGTTGTAAATGTAGAGTTTTGTAGAATTAATATGAAGTTTTTTTTACCATGTAAAGATGTAGGCTTTAGCGGGGAATCTTACGAAGCTTAGTAAAGGAGATGTACACCATGAGAGAGATCTATCAAAAGGGAATTCCCTTTTGTATGGCCTACCAGCCTACACTATAAAAAAGCTACAACACATCCAGAATGCCGCGGCGCGCCTCGTCACACTTACAAAAAAGCATGATCACATTACGCCGGTTCTCGTTAATCTTCATTGGCTTCCCGTTAATCAACGTATTATTTTTAAGATTTTACTTATAACCTACAAGGCACTTAACAACTTGGCACCGTCGTACATTTGTGATTTGCTTACATCTTACACCCCATCGCGTCAACTACGCTCATCATCCAAGCACCTTCTGGTTTCTCCATCCTATAACTTGAAAACATGGCGCAAGATCCTTCTCTGTAGCAGCACCATCATTATGGAATGCTTTGCCATGTGAAATTAGAAATGCTCAGTCTGTGTCTGTTTTTAAAAGTAGATTAAAAGCTTTTCTTTTTAGAAAAGCCTTTTATAATTAATATTAGCTTTCTTGAGTTTTAATGTTAAAGTTTTTGTAGGCGCCTTTGAACAGTAGGATACTGGCGCGGTATAAATCTTTTATTATTATTATTATTATTATTATTATTGTTATTATTATTATTATTGTTATTATTATTATTATTATTATCTTTAACGATGAATTGGCAGTGAAGAAAGGTAAAATATTAAAACTCACATTTTTCTTTTTTTTAATTTACACGGCAAAATGAAATAAATTTCCTAAATGCTCATTTCTAATCGTTCTTGTTTATTGTTCACCTGATGCTTATGACCTTGATAAAGAGAGAAAAACCGCGATTAATTTATTAAAGTGACTTAATTCCCTGAGCGAAGGAATGATATTTTTCCACCCCTATCCTCCTTGGGGAATACACACTTACAGACAGTATTTTCGTTCAGTGAGCAGTGACTAGTTGGGTCAGATCAGTCATGCTCGAAAAATTTGAGCATTATGCTTTTGAGCGTCACCCCTTTACTTTTATTGATTCAAAATTGATTCGCTCCTATGGTTGAAGGTGCTACTTATTTTGAAGATTAGCCCACGAGGGATCAAAGTTGTCAGATTTTATTTGTACTAGGGTGAACACGACTCGTTACATCCGTGGTTACGTCGTAGTCAACTTAAAATTAAATAGTTTCGAGATAAATTATTATTTACAATATTCTTAGTTGAAGCAACAAACGGTTTCGTAACTTACAATTTGTGTTTCTGAATAGTTGGATCCCTTGATTCGCTATCTCGATGCTTATGTTTACGACCGTTGATGACCAGCTTCGAATGTCGTTACATCATAAATTGTTCTTTTTAAAACATAAGTCACATGACCTATTTTTCCCGCCGCGCGTGGGCGAATTTGCAATTACGATAATGAATTCTAATTCTTTGCTACGCGCGCCACTGAACATGCAAATGAAAAATAATAGTTTTAAGAGCCTCTCAATCTCCCCCGTACCCTTCCCCACCCCCCACTCCTACACCAAAAGGTAAACTTGCTTAGAAGAAAAAAAGGCCTACCGAAGTTCAGAACACAAGATTTTGCAGGATCAAAATCCTCAAGAGCAAGCAAGAAAAGCTGGCTAACTGTTGACATTCCTCAGGCTAAGTTTGGTCATTATGCCGACATTGTGCTCGCTTCTCTGACAGTAACGTTATGCCCGAAATTATGCCTGCAAAATTCATCAGACCTTACCGACCAGAACTAGAGATGTGGATGACATCAGAGCTGAGATTAAAAGATACAAAGCTTCTCGACTCTCGCGTCGAGTTATGGCAACACAAGCTCATTCAGTAGCAAAGACGTTAACAAGGTTAATTCTTGCTTTATTTTTGTCCCTTGGTTACATTTTTGTATCTTAATGCTTCTTGGCAAGTGTGGGAGGGGAGGGTGAGGCTGAGCGAGAGACAAGAGTGGAGGAGAGACAAAAAAAAAAAAAACTACCAGGATCTAAAAACGCGCCCTTAAAGATGAAATCTTATGTTTCACGCTGTCAAATCCGGCTTCCATGAGGGCTAAAGTAATTACGGTCCTCTGGCAAGCTTGTCCTGATCCTGTAATCCCAAGAAATCTTTGTATAAATGCTCGTTGTCAAGCCTGAATTTGGGTATCTGCTATTGATGTTCATCACTTACGTCACGCTTTGACCATCACTTAAGAACCGCTTCGCTTGAAGCTTTTAAATTTGGCATTTACAATCCTTCAAAAATCTTCCCGATCCGGTCGGTCTGCAGTCCTTGTTTCCTTTGGTTTAGGGGATTGCTTCAAGTTTTCCTTCCCATGTCAGTGACAGGTTTTACGGCCTTAAAACTACTGAAATATCGTTGCATAGCTCCGTTACGTTCACGACACTGAAAAGCGGAGGAGGGCCAGACGTAATTTTCCAATTTTACAACAATGACTGTCATCAACAGGGACTATTTTTATACCATGATTTTTCTCGTTGCTAAATATTTGGCCAGGTTCCTATATGATCTCCTTGGCCATCCTGATTGTCCCAGTTTTCATTACGACCTAAACAACAATAACAATGTTTTCTAAATAGCCATTGATTAAAGGCGTAAAAGGCAAAACCCATTCCTTGAATTCAAAAACAAAAGATGAGTACATGTATTTCATAACACGAATGACATAAGCTGTTGCCTGAGGCAATTCAAATTTCTTAATCGTAAGTTTTTCTCCATATTTAGAAGAGACCAGCTTGCGAAATTATGGAGTATAGTTTTACATCTGAAGGGTAACTTATACTCGAAAATCTGGTCGTATTTTGGACTGACACAAGTTCTCTTTGGATTTAAAATAATGCAATTCAGCAAGTCATTAGATTTGTACCATGACGTCAAATGCTAATTACTTCACTAAGCGTTTCCTGTAAAATCGCGATAAGACTTTATACGATCCCAGTAAGCCTTGCGTGCGCAGTTCACATAGACTTACCTGTCAAGAGCAGCTATAAAATCCCTGTGACCTGCGTTTTGTATCGACAACTTGGTTAATTATATTACCTCATACTGCGTATGACTTAACACTTCATCGTTATCCAAAGTGATTGTCCTTTCTTCATAATGAAGCCGTACGTTGAAAACGTCGAGATATCAGGTGCAATAGACGTCACTGGCGGCGAATACAACGAAGAGCAACAAACATGGAGTATTTCTGTAACTAATCTACCAAACGATGTTTTTGAGGATTCAGACACGAAGGTATGTAAATAGAAAAAGAGATATCGTCAGCTCCTTGTTTAGCTATGAATTGTATGAGCTCGTCATCGTAACGTTTTGTTAGAAAGCGAGTACATTTCGTCGAAGTGCAAAGTTTTACAGACCAAAACAACTGTTGTATTCTATAGGATAGTCAGCTCAGTTATCTCTTATTTAGCTGCTTTTTCAACTCTGTGGGAATCCTGAAGCATACACGAAACATACTTAGGTCGCAAAAAAAATGCGTGCAAGCTTGATTGATTTTTAGTTGACTTGGGAAATGTTTTGTCTAGTAATAAGCTTATAAAAACTATCAAGATCTCGTTAGTTGATGAACCGATTCAGGTTTCGATTGTTAAAAAGAATTAACGTTAAATCCATTGCTGGTTTTCACCGGAGTTCTGAAATTTGGAAAGTCAAGACAAAATTGAGACAGATATTAATGATAATGAACAGACATGAGATAATGAGTGACTGTCACTTTCAAGAAAACAAATTTGATATCAAAATTCTTTACGTGAAGTTCATTTCCAGCAAGTCATGTTTTGCATAAGGAAGAGGGACTGGGTTGGTTACTTGCAAACGTAGGAATTAGAGGGTACAGAACAGGGTATACACGAGTCTCTGACTTTGATTAACGATAAAAAATTTTTCCTTGAGAGAAGAGGTATCTTTTGCTTTAGTGGTGAACTTGTGAAAGGCTCAAAATCCCCGTCATACCAGGGGTTTCTAGAGCTGTCATTAGGAGCCGTTAGACGGCTAAAACCGCGTGCCAGTCTGTCATCTTTAGCCACCTACTTTCACCTCATCTTACCATAATTTCTGATTAATAATGTAAGTATTAAAGTACAATCAGAGAAATTTGTAAAGCAGCCATTTTCTAGTTTTAAGGGGAATTGAATGCTTGATTTACCAGGAACAAGTTTAGAACGAGCTTTGAGGAGTGCTTGAGACATTTTAACGAAATAGTTCTCAGTTGTGGTTTTAATCTGATAAAATGACATGGGGCCCTGAGGTTAACCTGGCCATCTCCTATTTCTTATTAGCACTCCAGCTACCAGGAGTAAACAGCTGCTTTCAAGACCTCTTACTTCTTCTGTGAAGATTTCATCCAAACAATTTGTTGAGGCTTTAAGCTCGGTGCCTTTTGAAAGTCAACTTTCAGCCACCTTGAGTTGTAAAATCTTATCAGGAAAACAAAAAAGTGTTAGCAGAAGAAGAAATTTGCATTATTTTTTAGATATACTTTGCTGTTAACCACAATCAGAGAAAATAAGCAAGTATTATTAGTACTTTATGCAAATTTATATCTCACTTTTATTTAAACCACAGTCATACTTAGGTCATCAAATTGGCAACTTGTTAGTAAATAATTTGGATATATCAAGAAAGTTGAAATGGTAAATTGGCCACCGTAATGATTACAAAAGCTGATGTTTCGAACGTTAGCCCTTCGTTGGAGCGAATAGAGGAATTGTGGGTTATGTGTGCTTTTCAAGGCAGAAAATGGAGCTACGTTATTGGTGGGAACATGGCAACGAGAAAAACACGAATAAATTAGTGGAATGAAAAGCGTTCATTGATCCCTGTGGGATTTAGACTGCCGGTTTGAAAGATGAGCTTTTGTTCAAGATTTTTACGGCTTTCCGTGCCACCTAAGTGCAAGGAAAGACCGCAGATTGCCATATGTTGCTTAGAATGATTAGGTAAATTAAAATGTCTAGCGACTGGTTTCGATGTGTCCTTGTCATTCCTTTCCACGTCTCGAAGGTGTTCTCGGAATCGGTCACCTAGTCTTCTGCCTGTTTCGCCGATGTATATCTTTTTGCAATAAGTGCAAGTTATGCAATAGATTACATTGGCGGAGGTGCACGTGAAGTGATCGGTGATCTTAATGGATCGTTTAGGTCCCGATATTTTATCAGTGTTGTGAATGAAAGGACACGTTTTGCATCGTGCACGAGCGCATTTAAAAGTGCCTGGTTGGTCATTAGTCTGAAAAGAACTTCTGACCAAAAAATTGCCTATGTTTTTGTCGCGTTTGAATGAAATGAGCGGAGGCTGCGAAAAGATAGTGCTTGTCTCTGGATCGTTTTGAAGTAATTTAAAGTTTTTAAGAATGATGGATTTAACTGAGTGGTTGTGAGGGTGAAACGTGAGAGTGAATGGAATGCGGTCGGAATCTTCCTTATGCGACGTTTGTAGTGCTGAATGTCGATCAATAAGTTG